GTTTTGAATTTTTATGCATTTTGACATAATATAGGACGAGCGAGTGAATAAATTTTGATAAATCAAAAACGTTGCATTATGATTAAATAAAATTTAAGAGTAAAATTTGACATCAGCATCATAAATTCTTCATTACTCAATTTATACAAATAAAACAACAGTTTTCCCGTTGGTTGGTCTATTGTCTGTTCTGGCTCTTGATTGGCTCATTTTTTTAGAGGCGGAGCTACAGCTGTCATATTTGGCACTACAGTTTTTCTCCTCACCTGAATAAACAAATAACATAATAAGATCATGTGTCAACAGTGCAGATTACTATTTTGAATCCAAGACAACAAAAATGTTTGGACGCAAACACCAAGATAAAAAGCACGATTACAAAAATAGTCAATATATAAAATTTCGACTTAATATATAAGACAAGCGAGCGAATAAATAAAAGGCGGGGCTACAGCTGTCATATTTAGCGATACAGTTTCTCTCCTCCCTCGAATAAACAGACATCATGTTGATCGTGCGAATACAAATACGAATTTTTACGTATTTTAACATTATCGAGCGAAAATTTGTACAAAATCTAAAATGTTGCATTGTGATTAAACAAAACTAAAATCAGGAGGAATATCTGAAAACAATATCGTTTATTATTCTTCGAAACTCAGTTTACACAATTTAAACTACAGTTTTTCCAATTGGCTGGTCGATTGTCTGTTCTGGCTCTTGATAGGTAAATTTTTTTGAGGGGCGGGTCTACAGCTGCCATATTTAGAGCTACAATTTTTGATAGCCTGATCTTATGAGGAACCATAACTACTTTGCGTTTTGTCAGTTTAGTGGCTAATTTGTACAAATTAGTATGAGCTCAGTCTTATGAAAATGTACGATTTTAAAAAGGAGGCGTGGCATCCAACCACACCCCTAAACCCAACCGTCAATGGGGGATAGGTAAATCAGACTAAATTGTACGAATGAAATCATACTAAATTGTACGAATGAAATCATACTAAATTGTACGAATGAAATCATACTAAATTGTATGAATGAAATCATACTAAAGTGTACGAATGAAATCATATTAAATTGTACAAATGAAATACTAAATTGTAAGAATGAAATCATACTAAACTGTACGAATGAAATTATACTAAACTGTACGAATGAAATCATACTAAATTGTACGAATGAAATCCTATTAAATTGTATGAATGAAATCATACTAAACTGTACGAATGAAATTATACTAAACTGTACGAATGAAATCATATTAAATTGTATGAATGAAATCATATTAAATTGTACGAATGAAATTATACTAAACTGTACGAATAAAATCATACTAAAGTGTACGAATGAAATCATATTAAATTGTATGAATGAAATCATATTAAATTGTACGAATGAAATCATACTAAATTGTACAAATGAAATCATACTAAACTGTACGAATGAAATCATATTAAATTGTACGAATGAAATCATATTAAATTGTACGAATGAAATCATATTAAATTGTACGAATGAAATCATACTAAACTGTACGAATGAAATCATACTAAACTGTACGAATGAAATCATACTAAACTGTACGAATGAAATCATACCAAAGTGTACGAATGAAATAATATTAAATTGTACAAATGAAATCATATTAAATTGTACGAATGAAATCATACTAAATTGTACAAATGAAATCATACTAAACTGTACGAATGAAATAATATTAAATTGTACAAATGAAATCATATTAAATTGTACGAATGAAATAATATTAAATTGTACAAATGAAATCATATTAAATTGTACGAATGAAATCATACTAAATTGTACGAATGAAATCATATTAAAGTGTACGAATGAAATCATATTAAAGTGTACGAATGAAATCATACTAAACTGTACGAATGAAATCATATTAAAGTGTACGAATGAAATCATACTAAATTGTACAAATGAAATCATATTAAATTGTACAAATGAAATCATATTAAATTGTACGAATGAAATCATACTAAATTGTACGAATGTAATCATATTAAATTGTACGAATGAAATCATATTAAAGTGTACGAATGAAATCATATTAAAGTGTACGAATGAAATCATACTAAACTGTACGAATGAAATCATATTAAAGTGTACGAATGAAATCATACTAAATTGTACAAATGAAATCATATTAAATTGTACGAATGAAATCATACTAAATTGAACGAATGAAATCATATTAAATTGTACAAATGAAATCATATTAAATTGTACGAATGAAATCATACTAAATTGTACGAATGAAATCATATTAAAGTGTACGAATGAAATCATATTAAATTTTACAAATGAAATCGTAGGAATTCATACGAATTAGCCACTAATTCAAAAAATTTAGAGTTGCCATGAGATTATGAGATTTTTTCTCCTTTCCCAGATTAGCAAGCAAACAACAGTGCAGCATACTATTTTGGAAATGCTTATTGTACCACGTGATACACACTACATAGTGCATACCTCACAGTGCGCTAGTATTGCTTTGCGAACGCAGCCACACACACAGAGGTCAGTTCAAGCTGGTTTTTCCAGGATTCCTCTGTAAAGCAGTGTGTGGCGCGTCCCGCCTTCAATTCCCCCCCACCTCCATCTGCGCTGTGGTACGAGCCAAAGCCGAGTGAACCAGAGCGTCCCGAAACACACTGACAGAGGGAGAGAGTGACTGCATGAAGAGGGTTTTATCCTGAGATCACACACAGAAGGACTGCGCACTACACACTGCGTCCTGTAAGCTCTGCATGCGTCTCTGCTGCTTGTGTGTGTGTGTGTGTGTGATGCTTTATTTGCACTGGACTTGGATATTTGACTGGAATGTTATGAAACGCGTCACATGATCACTTTAAAGGCACACAATTCTTCAGTGTTTGGGCAAAAAAGTATGGTGATATCTACTTTTGTTTTCTTTTTGAATCTTCAGAATAGATGTGATGGATAACGGTGCGCTATACTGTGTGTGTGTGTGTGTGTGTGTGTTGTCATGTATGTCATCAGCAGATGCACTTGAGTTGTTTTTGTTTAGACAGCAGCATCAGCCGCTCTGCTTCAGACGTGAGGAGGTTTTAGACTTTGAACAGTGTCTTTGGAGGTTTCTAGAGTCCTGCTGCTTTTAGACGCTTGATGAATCAGACTTGTGAAGCAGGACTAATTATGTGTCGTTGTTGTTTTGGGGTAATTATTATTGTAGGACTCTTGCTCTGTAAGTAGTTTCTAATCTAGGACATCCTGTACACAGTTGTGTTGTGACTGATCTCTGTTGCTGAAGAGTTGTAGGTCATTGCTGGAACCGTGCTAAGTGGTTACTAGGGCACGGCTTGGATCTTAAAATACTAACATTCTGGGGGGATTGTTGCTGTAGCTGGTTGCTTTGAGGTTGCTGGGGATTGTGGCCTGTTGCTAGGAGGTTGCTGGGGGTGTCGCTTGTTGCTATGAGGTTTCTGGAGGTGTGGCTTGTTGCCATGAGGTTCTTGGAGGGTGTGGCTTATTGTTATGAGGTTGCTGGGGGTTTTGGTATGCTGTTATGAGGTTGCTGGGAATTGTGGCTTGTTGTTATGAGGTTGCTGGAGGGTGTGGCTTGTTGTTATGAGATTGTGGCTTGTTGCCATGAGGTTGCTGGAGGGTGCGGCTTGTTATTATGAGATTGTGGCTTGTTGCCATGAGGTTGCTGGGGGTGTGGCTTGTTGCCATGAGGTTGCTGGAGGGTGTGGCTTGTTACCATGAGGTTGTTGGAGGGGTGTGGCTTGTTGCCATTAGGTTGCTGCGGGTGTGGCTTGTTGCCATGAGGTTGTTGAAGGGTGTGGCTTGTTGCCATGAGGTTGCTGGAGGGTGTGGCTTGTTGCCATGAAGTTGCTGGGGGTGTGGCTTGTTGCCATGAGGTTGCTGGAGGGTGTGGCTTGTTGCCACGAGGTTGTTGAAGGGTGTGACTTGTTGCCATGAGGTTGCTGGAGGGTGTGGCTTGTTGTTATGAGATTGTGGCTTGTTGCCATGAGGTTGCTGGGGGTGTGGCTTGATGCCATGAGGTTGCTGGAGGGTGTGGCTTGTTGCCATGAGGTTGTTGGAGGGTGTGGTTTGTTGCCATGAGGTTGCTGGAGGTTGTGGCTTGCTGCCATGAGGTTGCTGGAGGGTGTGGCTTGTTGCCACGAGGTTGTTGAAGGGTGTGGCTTGTTGCCATGAGGTTGCTGGAGGGTGTGGCCTGTTGTAATGAGATTGTGGCTTGTTGCCATGAGGTTGCTGGGGGTGTGGCTTGATGCCATGAGGTTGCTGGAGGTTGTGGCTTGTTGCCATGAGGTTGCTGGAGGGTGTGGCTTGTTGCCATGAGGTTGTTGAAGGGTGTGGCTTGTTGCCATGAGGTTGCTGGAGGGTGTGGCTTGTTGCCATGAGGTTGTTGAAGGGTGTGGCTTGTTGCCATGAGGTTGCTGGGGGTGTGGCTTGTTGCCATGAGGTTGCTGGAGGGTGTGGCTTGTTGCCATGAGGTTGTTAAAGGGTGTGGCTTGTTGCCATGAGGTTGCTGGTAAATGTGGCTTGTTGTTATGAGGTTGCTGGGGGTGTGGCTTGTTGTTATGAGGATGTGGCCTGCTGCCGTGAGGTTGCTGGAGGGTGTGGCTTATTGCTATGAAATTGCTGGGGGTGTGGCCTGTTGCTATGAAGTTTCTGGGGGTGTGGTTTGATGCCATGAGGTTTTTGGAGGATGTGTCTTGTTGTTATAAAATTGCTGGGGGTGTGGCTTTTTGCTGGAAGGTTGCCAGGGTTGTGGTTGGTTGCTATGCGGTTGCTGGCGTTTGGCTGGTTGCTATGCGGTTGTTGGTGTTTTTGTCAGGGACTGTGTGTTTCCTGTGTTCTTAAAGGCAGCAGCACTTCAGACTGAAGCTGAACTACATCATTATAGGCTGTAATGAATAACAGTGTGTGTGTGTGTGTGTGTGTGTGTGTGTGTGTGTGTGTGTGTGTGTGTGTGTGTGTAGATCTGTGTGGCTCTGTGGATTCCAGGCCTCTGATGTCCCAGCGCTCTCTGCCCGTCACCCCAGTCTCACACAAACACCTGCCCATCGACCTGCGCACATCTATGGACGGAAAATACAAGGAGATCGCTGAGGTGTGTGTGTGTGTCTACTCTTCAGTGTGAAACTGTGTGTGTGTGTGTGTGTGTGTGTATGTGTGTGTTAACCTGTGTGTATGTGTTGCAGGAGCTGCTGGCCAGGAGCCTGACGGACAGTGACATGCGCTGCGCTCCGTATGAGTTTCCTGAAGAAAGCCCCATCGAGCAACTGGAGGAGAAACGCCACCGTCTGGAGCGGCAGATCAGTCAAGATGTCAAGTAAAACACACACACACACACACTCAAAAAAACACACAAATGAATGCTCACACAAACATTCACACAAACACACAAACACACATTTGCACAAACAAACAAACAAACAAACAAACAAACAAACAAACAAACAAACGCATGCATGCACAAACACACGCACAAACACTCACAACATACATGTACATCCACAAACACACACACACACAAACATACACATGCATGCACATACAAAAAAGCACTCACACAACAACACACACACACAAACATGCGTGTACACACAAACACAAAGACGTACACATGCATGCACACAAAGACACACAAACACTCACACACAAACACATACAACACACATGCACATGCACAAACACGGCCACACACACACATGCATGCACATACACAAAATCATGCACACCCACGCAAACATATGCACACACACACACACGCCATACATGCGCATGCACAAACACACACAGACACATACACACAAACACATGCACATATAGAAATGCACGCACACACAGAAACATGTATATGCGTGCGCCCACAAACACATGGGCACATACATGCACGCACACACTCACAGCCAAACACAGACACACGCTCACACACGGATGCATGCACATACACAAAAGCTCGCACACACACAAACACGCGTGCACAGACGAATACAAACACGCACACAAAGACCCACAAACATGGACAAACACACACACATACGCAAACACATGCACACACACACACACACACATGCATGCACACACACACACTCAAGCACAGACACACGCGCACACACAGATGCACGCACATGCACAAAAGCTCGCGCACACACACACACACACACATACACACACACACACACACACAAATACATGTGCACAGACGTGCACTGACACACAAACATGGACAAACACACACACATACGCAAACACAAACACATGCGCACACACACACACACACACACACACACACACACACACACACACACACATGCATGCACACACACACACACAAATACATGTGCACAGACGTGCACTGACACACAAACATGGACAAACACACACACATACGCAAACAAAAACACATGCGCACACACACACACACACACGCACACACATGCATGCACACACACACACACACAAATACATGTGCACAGACGTGCACTGACACACAAACATGGACAAACACACACACATACGCAAACACAAACACATGCGCACACACACACACACACACACACACACACACATGCATGCACACACACACACCCAAGCACAGACACAAGCGCACACACAGATGCACGCACATGCACAAAAGCTTGCACACACACACACACACACACACACACACACACACAGACAGACACACACACAAATACATGTGCACAGACGTGCACTGACACACAAACATGGACAAACACACACACATACGCAAACACAAACACATGCACACACACACACACACACACACACACACATGCATGCACACACACACACCCAAGCACAGACACAAGCGCACACACAGATGCACGCACATGCACAAAAGCTTGCACACACACACACACAGACAGACACACACACAAATACATGTGCACAGACGTGCACTGACACACAAACATGGACAAACACACACACATACGCAACTACAAAGACATGCGCACACACACACACACACACACACACACACACACACACAGATAGACACACACACAAATACATGTGCACAGACGTGCACTGACACACAAACATGGACAAACACACACACATACGCAACTACAAAGACATGCACACACACACACACACACACACACAAAGACACACACGAAGACACACACACACACACACACACACACACACAGAGTCCTAAGTCCTGAGGATGTGAGGTGTGTTTGTGTCGGCTCATCTAAACACTTCAGTGCAGCTTCACTGTCATTCCCTTTAACTCATCAACTGTTATGATCATATACTGCAATAATAAATGTCAGATTATGAAACATGTGTAAATGCAGCAGTCGTGCACAGATCCTCTCTGTCTCTGAGATGAAATAAATGAATGTTTGGAGGAGGAAACGTCACGCAGACGCAGAGATTCCCGCACAGCGCTGCACTTGTTTGTGTTTGCGATCCGTGTGAATTCTTCTGCTTTGAAAACACTGACCTAGAACATTGACAATCGCACACACTTTGGCTGCGTTTCAGTGTGTGTGTGTGTGTGTGTGTGTGTGTGTGTGTGTGGCTTACAGATGCTTAAACACACACTCTTGCTGCCCGGTGGAGAGTCTCAGATTCCCTCTGCTGCATTTTAAATGAAAGTGCTTTACAAAAATCAATCCCACTGATTAATGCTCTGCTCTCGTCTGTGTGTGTGTGTGTGTGTGTGTGTGTGTGTGTGTGTGTGTGTGTGTGTGGTACTCACTCAAATCTGCTGCTTCGCCTCACGTTCTTCAAGGCTTGAGCCCGAGATTCTGGTGCGAGCCAAACAAGACTTCATGAAAGTAGATAGCACAGCCGACCTGGAGTGAGTGTTTTCCGTCCGTTTATCTCTCCGTCTGTCCGTCTCGCCATCCCTCCATCTGTCCATCCAGTCATCTCTCCAACTGTCCACCTGTCTTCTAGGTTTTGTGTTTTTCTAAAAGTTCTTTTAACTTCTAAAGTTCTCCAAGTTCTAAATACTTTTCTGTTTTTTCCAAATTCTCAAGTTCAAGTTTCCTCCAGTTTTATTACAGTTTTTCTTGTTTGCTTTGATGCAGTTGTCAACTGAAACTCCACATTTTCAAAACAGTTAACACACAGGCCTAAACAGCGGCACTCATGGTCAAAATGAAACATTATGCTTGCAAAATGCACATACCGTGTCAAAACATTTAACATATGCAACAAAAGCTAGTTTTACCTTCAAACAACACAACTTGCAAACAAGTATATGAGCTCTTTCAATTATTCATTAGACAATGGACAACAAAAAACAAAATACAGAACTGTGAGTGAATTCTATTTGGGCTGTCAAATTGGCCTTTTTGCAAAGAATTGGATCAAGAATAAGATGTGCTTTGATTAAACTTATATTGAATTCATGACATTTTTCAAACTGTGGCTGAAAAATAAAATACCGTAAAAAAAATAAAAATAAAATTTAAAAAAGAAAAAAGTAGCAGAAAGCAGAAAAAAGAAAAAAACTAATAAAATATTGTAAATATTAGAGAAAACACATGTAAACCAATATACAGTCAAATATATTAGGAGTATAGGAAATAGCCACTATTGACCTCCTCCATCCATGCTGGCACAGAACAACACAGACCTTCCACCATTTTAATGTTTGCAGACTGATTGCTAATTGAAGATTTGTGTGAAGGAGTGTCAAATCGGTGCTTCATTGAATTCATACTGATCTTGGTAGTTTCTAATGGTTAGGAATAGATGGTTTCTGTTTGGTTACCATAGCTAAAACAATAGAGTTTGGACTGCTTGAATGACATCTGTGTTAACTGTTTTGAAAAATGGTGCGGAAAATGTGTCAACCCAATGAGAAAGGGTTTACACATTTGCAAGACCGGTCTTCTGCTCTGCTGGGATAGTGAAAATGAAAATGAAGTGGAACTTAGTTTCTTTAACCAGGTCAAAGCAAACAAGAAAAACTGTAAGCGCTTTGATTGATATGTTTTATCAAGTTGATTAAGTTCCACATTTCCTTCAAGTTTTACATTTAACTACATATTCTTTTAAGCTTTAAGTTAAGATTAGAGTTCTCCAACATCTTTATGTTTTCTTCAAGTTCTTTAAGTTTTTCAAAGCTCTTTGAGTTCAATTTCTACATTTCTGCGAGTTCTTCAAGTTTTTAGTTAAGATTTTTAAAAGTTTTCTCCGAGTTCTTTGTTTTCTCCAAGTGTTTAATGATCTTTGTTTTCTTCAAGATTTTTAAGTTAAATCTTTTCTACAAGTTCTTTATGTCCTTTATTTTTGCCAAGCTCATTGGGTTCTAAGTTCTAAGTTTACTCCACATTGTTTAAGTTCTACTTTTCCTTCAAGTTCCACACTTTCTACAGTTTCAAAGTTCAAGTATTTCAACTACAGGTTTTCTCAAACAGTTCTGTAAGTTATTTTCAATTATTTTGAGTTCTATTTTTCAAGTTTTAAGTTTCATAGTCGGCAGCTCGCTCTCTAGCTAATTCTCACATGGTCGCCCACTGAAGCTAAGCAGGGCTGCGCCCGGTCAGTACCTGAATGGGAGACCACATGGGAAAGCTAGGTTGCTGCCGGAAGTGGTGTTAGTGAGGCCAGTAGGGGGCGCCCAACCTGTGGTCTGTGTGGGTCCTAATGCCCCAGTATAGTGACGGGGACTCTATACTGCTCAGTGAGCGCCGTCTTTCGGATGAGACGTTAAACCGAGGTCCCGACTCTCTTTGGTTGTTAAAAATCCCAGTATGCTCTTCGAAAAAGAGTAGGGGTTTAACCCCGGCATCCTGGCCAGATCTGCCCACTGGCCTCTGTCCATCATGGCCTCCTAACCCTCCCCATATCATGATTGGCTTCATCACTCTGTCTCCTCTCCACCAATCAGCTGGTGTGTGGTGTGCGGGCTGGCGCAAAATGGCTGCCGTCGCGTCATCCAGGTGGATGCTGCACACTGGTGGTGGATGAGGAGATTCCCTCCCCATTGTGTGTAAAGTGCAATATAAATGTATAATAAATGTATAAAAGCGCAATATAAATGTATAAAAAATGTATAAAAGCGCAATATAAATGTAAGGAATTATTATTTTTAATATTATTATCCACATTTTTAATGTTTTGCTCAACTTCATCAATTTCTAAGTTTTCTATAAGTTCAAGTACACGTTCTACATATTCTTCAAGATTTTAACAATCTTTGTTTTTTTTTTTTTACAAGTTCTTTAAATTCTAAGTTTTTAGTTTTTTAAGTTCTTGAAGTTTTCTCCAGGTGTTTAATGTTCCGTTTCCTCCTGGTTCTTTAAGTTAAACTTTTTCTGCAAGTTCATTTGGTTCTTTTTTAATGTTCTAAGTTTTCTACAAGTTCTTTATGTTTTGTCGAAGTATTTAAATTCTTTAAGTTTTTTAAGTTAGGATATAAGTTCTTCAATGTTTTCTCTCAGTTTTTTTAATTTCTAAGCTTTATACAAGTTCTTTAAGTTCTTTGTTTTCTCCAAGTTCTTTATCTTTTGTCCAACTTTTTCATTTTCTACATGTTCTCCAATTTCTTAACGTTTTTCCAACTTTTTTAAGTTCTACATTTTCTTTAAGTTCATTATCTTCAGTTTCTACATTTAGTAAAAGTTCTTTTAAGTTGAGATTTAAGTTCAAGTTTTCTCCCAATTCTTCAATTTCTAAGTTTTATACAAGCTCTTCAAGTTTTTTCCAAGTTGTCCAAGTTCTTTAAGTTTTTCCAAATTTTTTGTTCTACATTTACTACAAGTTCTTTAAAGTTTTTAAGTTCTTCAACTTCAAGTTTTCTCTAATTTTTTTAGTTTCTAAGTTTCTTTCAAGTTCCTTAAGTTCTCTCAGTTATTTGGGTTTTTAGTTTTTCCAAGTTCTTTATGTTCTACATTTCCCACAAGTTCTACAAGTTCATTATCTTTTGTCCAAACTCTTCAATTTCTACATATTCTCCGAGTGTTTATTGTTCCCTGTTTTCTTCAAGTTCTTTAAATGAAACCTTTTCTACATCTTCATGCATTCTTTGTTTTCTCCAACTTCCAGTTTAAAAAATGTCCCACTTCTTAATGTTCTCATCCTTCTGTCTCTCATCATGTGTCTGTCTGCAGTTCTAAGTTTTCTCCAAGGTTTTTATGTTGTTTGTTTTCTCCAATTCCTTCAAGATCAAGTTTTAATTTCCTTCTAAGTTCTTTAAGTTCTTGTCGGTCTCTTATTACATGTGTCTGCCTGCAGGTATCTGAAGGACAGTCAGGAGGATACAGTCGACTATCCTTTTATCGAGCGAGAGACGGTGACGGAGAGAGAGTTTCAGCGGGTGTCCATCTCAGGAGAAGAAAAGTGTGGGGTGAGAGTGACAGAAAAACGAAATAAGCAAGGAAATCGTGTCCATTAAGATCTAAGTTCTGTACACATTTTTAAAAGTTCTACATTTTCTTAAGTTATATGCTTTTTTAAATGTCTAAGTTCTTTAATTTCTAAGTTGTAATGCTTATCTTAGTTTTTAGAAGTTCTACATTTATTTAATTTAGATTTTACATTTACATTAAGTTCTACATTTTATAAAGTTAGACCTATTTACATTCTAAGTTCTTTAAATGCATTAATATTTTGAGGGGTTTTCTTCTCTGAATGTTTGTTGTTCTTCAATTCCTGTTTTTATCAACAGATGTTTAGATCTTATCTCTGAATGTTCTCAGGTTCCGTTCACAGACCTGGTGGACGCCGCCAAGTGTGTGGTGAAGGCTCTGTTCATCAGAGAGAAGTACATGAGTCTGTCCCTGCAGAACTTCAGCAGAACCACCGCTCGATGCCTGCGCGAGCTCAACGAGAGGCCGCTGGACACCAACATCTACGAGGAGCTACACGAGAGCCCCGTCGACTCCGGTCTGAGAACCACACACACACACACACACACACACACACACAACAACCTAATTATAGTTCTCCTTTTTACATTTACATTTAGCAAACACTTTTGTCCAAAGCGACGTACAATCGAGGAGGCATTCAGTGATTCAACAAGAAGAGGCAACACACACAACAAGTGCTGACAATACAAATCTGTCAACAGTGTACGTCAACACGGGGAGAACATGCAAACTCCACACAGAAACGCCAACTTGCACAGCGAGGACTCGAATCAGTGACCTTGCTGTGAGGCCACAGTGCTAACCACTGAGCCACTGTGCACACTTAGTTTCACTTTCAGTAGGTAAAGTGCATGCGCCATTGTCGACCAGAGCAAAGTTTAAAGTTTGCACAGCTTACATTCACAAAACCCCGTGTGATTAAAACAACATAATAATCTGAACTCTGAATATAAACTGTGCAAATGCAGTGAATGATAGTGAAAATGATGAGGAATTGTGTAGAAGATCACACCGTATGTCAACAGTAGTTAAACATGATGCCTATAGCTTTCCTTTCTATCTCACCTTCGTCTTGTGTGTGTGTTCGTGTCAGATGTGTCCGTTCACCCACCGGTGTCCAAAACACACCCGTACGAGGAGCAGAACCTGCCGTCTGATCTAGGATACAGCTGCGCGATGGTGGACGGAGTTTTCCACGTCTACACCACACAAAACCCTAAGGACAAGTAAGTTTCAAGCTTAAATGATGTTGGCTGCCTGTTCAAACCGCTTATTTGAAGAGTTCACACTCAGCTGATGGTTGATTATAAAGCGTGTTTGGCATGCTGTCCCAGGAGAGAGCCCTGAGCTTATAAGATCCTCGAGCCCGGGGCTCCCTCCTGTTGCGAGGCGAGAGGGGAGTTTGAGCTCAGGTAGATGTGGAGAACTCCCCTGCTGTAGATAATGAACAGATAGTGATCACTCTTAAGCGATAGCTACTGTCTATGGTGCCGATTTGGATTAGTCAATTAACAAGCTGCATGTTTTTGGACGGTGGGAGAAAATCGGGGAACCCGGGGGAAACCCACGTGAGCACAGGGAGAACGTATAAACTCCGCACAGAAACGTCAGCTGGATTGGTAAGGACTAGAAGTGACGTTCTTGCTGAGAGGCAACAGTGCTAACCACTGGACCACCGTGCCACCCATCTAGGAAAAAAGGAGGAGTAGGGGTGGAAGGGGGGAATCTTCAAAACGAAGGCTTGTATAGTGGCCTAGGAATCGTCTGATTGGTGAATAATCAGTTGGATAATGCGGGGCAGCTGCAAGCAATCATAAGCACGTGATCCTCTCGAAATTAGTTTATAAATAAACTCCACTTAAAGTGAGCCGAATCAACACAATTCTTGAGGATTTTTAGGGGACGACTTAATTGTTTTATGTTCAGGCCACTTAAGTTTGTAAAACTAAGTTAACTTAACTGGTTTGTGTTCGAACAACATGAAGGAATTATGTAATTAGGCCTGTCACAATAATCGACACACGGACAAATCTCACTAAGTGCTTTTCTTTTAGCATTACGCCCGTGTAACCAGCAGATGTCCTCAGTGTGCTGCATTTCTAGTGCATCTGACCTGTGAATCCAGCTCGTGTAATCAAACGATCACAGTCAGTACTACTACTACTACTAGGCCTGTCACAATAATCAATATATAATAATAATAATAATAATTCCTTACATTTATATAGCTATAAGGGGGGAAGGTTAGGAGGCCATGATGGACAGAGGCCAGTGGGCAGATTTGGCCAGGATGCCGGGGTTAAACCCCTACTCTTTTTCGAAGGACATCCTGGGATTTTTAACGTCCACAGAGAGTCGGGACCTCGGTTTAACGTCTCATCCGAAAGACGGCGCTCACTGAGCAGTATAGAGTCCCCGTCACTATACTGGGGCATTAGGACCCACACAGACCGCAGGTTGGGCGCCCCCTGCTGGCCTCACTAACATCACTTCCGGCAGCAACCTAGCTTTCCCATGTGTCTCCCATCCAGGTACTGACCGGGTGCAGCCCTGCTTAGCTTCAGTGGGTGAAGCACTGCCAGCTAGCTCTCTAATATATGGACTTATTGCACATGGACATAAGCTCATCTTTGCTGATGCAATATATATCGCCTATACATAAAAAAAACAATTCTACCAACATTTTAGCTGATCGCGCATCTCTATCTCTTTTGGGGGTGTCAAAGTCAATATGGTTAAAAAACACTCTAGTATATTTTGATGTTGGTGTCTGACAGCTGAAAATAGATCTGCTAGCAGATATCACAGCCTCTGTTAATTTATACCTTGTTACATTTATTATTATTATTTCTTTAGGATATGCCTTTTCACATTCTGACTCCAGTGCCTAATTAATAAACTGTTAAAATGACTGTAATTAAATGAAATACTCTTCAGAATATGATATGATGTGTTTCTTTAGAAGAGTGTACTTGCATTGTGATGATGTTATATTGTCATTCTGGCTTTATATGATGATGAGTGTCATTAAATGGTCTTAAAATGACAATAATATTGTATATCGCTCTATATTTTGGTGCAATATATATCCTACAACAGAAAGTAGATATCATGACAGGCCTATGTGTGGATACCCTGCATGTGTGTCCTCAAATCTGACACATTTAGCAGAGTCCACGTTTGGGGACGACCTAGAAAAAAAGTAGATCATGAAGACACACGAGCTGCTTCAAACACTCAAGCAGCCTTAAAAAAATGGAAGAATTATTACGATTTGTGTGGTCCATCAAAACATCACAGTAAACGATGCTTAATGATAGCTGTGCGAAGTTGTTTAGCAAATCTTTAACAAATGACTTTATTATTTATTCATTTTGAAATTTTTATTTATTTTTATGCATTGTTAACTATATATATATATATATATATATATATATTCATATACAGCTGAAGTCAGAATTATTAGCCACTTTTAGAATTTTATTTTCTTTTTTAAATATTTCCCAAATGATGTTTAAGAGAGCAAGAAAATTTTCACAGTATGTCTGATAATATTTTTTCTTCTGGAGAAAGTCTTATTTGTTTTGTTTTGACTAGAATAAAAGCAGCTTTTAATTTTTTAATCACCATTTTCAGGACAAAATTATTGGCCTCTTTAAGCAATTTTTTTTCAATAGTTTACAGAACAAACCACTGTTATACAATAACTTGCCACCCTAACCTGCCTAGTTACCCTAATTACCCTAGTTAAGCCTTTAAATGTCACTTTAAGCTGTAAAGAAGTGTCTTGAAGAATCAAATATTATAGTCAAATATTATTTACTGTTCAATTCAATTCACCTTTAAGTTCAGTTCAGCTCAGTTCAGTGTGGTTTAATATTCACTACTAAGAGTCCAAACACTGAAGAGCAAATCCAGCAATGCTCAGCTCTACAGAACCCAAACTATGCAAGCCAGTGGCGACAGCGGCGAGGAACAAACTTCACCAATTGGCGAAAGTGAAGAATTAAAAAACCTTGAGAGAAACCAGACTCAGTTGGGCACGACCTCTGGCTCCTCTGGCTAAACGTCTTGTGAAGAGCTGCAGTCAAGGTGCCAGAGGCTGCAGAATGCTGGACCTCAGCAAAGGAGTTGAGGAGTGGATCTTGTTTTGTTTATTGAAAGAAAATTGTAAAGATGCTACGACCACTCAAATGTAAAATCAAAATCAATAAAAAGCTTAATTACAAAAAAAAGGAAGGCTATTCCAGAGTTTGGGAGCCATAAATGAGAAGGCTTGACTTCCTTTACTTGACTTTGCTGTTCTAGGTACTACCAGAAGCCCTGAGTTTTGAGATCTTAAAGGGCGAATTGGATTGTAGCGAGACTGAAGGTTGGTTAGATAAACAGGAGCTCGATTATTTAGAGCTTTATAGGTAAGAAGCAATATTTTAAAATCAATACGAAACTTAACAGGCACCCAGTGTATTAATAAAAGACATATATTTATATATACTTTTTTTCAACTAATCGCCAAATAATTTTTAAAATGACCAACTAAACAAACAAAAACACAATTGCAAGGTAAGATATAACGTAATTGTTATTAATATTTTTATATTAATGATATTAAAAATAACAGTATCAGTTAAATTAAAATAAGCTTAAATTCATTACGAATTAAAGAGTCAAATTGATTCATAAATCTATAAAAAACAATTAAAAGCATTAAACAAAGGTTTCACATTTTATACAATACAAATAATAAATCATAACACAAACAATACTATATCAGTTTGGGCTAATATTAGAAACTAGAAATAGAAATAAAGCAAATAAACAATAACATCAGTAAAACTTACAGGGGTGTGTGCATGTCTAAAAACGCTCACTATGTAGTGGACTCGCTAGTGTTCAATCTGACTGAGCTTGTATTAAAACGTATCAAATGTCTGTCTTCAGTCAGTGTGTCTTACACTGGTTTGTTGTGTGTGTGTGTGGTTGTGTGTGTTTTCAGGAGCACTGAGCTGGACCTGCCGTATCCGGACCTGCAGGAATACATCGCAGACATGAACGTGATGATGGCGCTCATCATCAACGGCCCCGTGTGAGTCTCTGTTACCCATAATGCCCTGCGTTCGGCTGTTCTCAGAAGTGTCTTATATTCTGTCAGACCCTACAGGATTTCTACTGGACTAAAGTTATCTCTAGGTGAAATGACGGCATTCTGTATTTGGCTTTTCGCTTGTACAGTGCCTCTGAACTGTCAAAACACCTCTCAAATCGATTTTTTTCAGATGCGAAAACAAACAAAAACAATAAAACCAAACCCGATTAGATTTTTTTATGACGGATGAAACTTTCGAAGGCAGTGTGTTTCACACAACAAGAAGTCGAATGTATTTTTTAATATTCGAAAATTATGGATGAAAATTTCCAACCCAAGCTCATTCTGGAAACGTAGCCCCGCAGACGTTTCTGGAGACCGCGATTTACATGGCCGGAGGAATGTACGGACACGTTTAGTTTTTTTCGAGCGAACGCTGCGGGGCGATGTGGCGCCGCTCCTCCTCTTTGCGCTCGCCGGCTGACAGCTCCCCTCCGAGTGGAGGGCAACCAGTTGCAACCAGTTTGTCCGCTTAGCTCACATCGTTGCGTTGACGGAGCGGAGGCTCCGGAGGAGGAGGAGCCGGCCGTGGGGACAACGACCGGGATCGAGTCCGGGGAACAGCAGGTTCCGGAAATCAGGTAAGACAAAAAACAGAATCCAAAAAATAAGGGCGAGAACGCGGCGGGATCCGAAAATGTTGTCGAAATCGAAGACGAGGGCTTTTGCTTTTTTTTTTTCTGGACAGCTTTTGCGAACCGTCGCTCGGGTTTAGGCAAGGAGGAGGAGGAGGAAGAGGAGGGCGGCCGGGGCGGCCGATCTGGCGGCTTCTCGCGCGAGACAGCGCGGGCACGAACGGAACGCGAACGGAAAAGCGCGCACAGCGGCCTCTCGCGGATCCGCGAAAAACAAAAAAACGCTCGAATACGTACCTCCCGGGACGTATCTCGTGGTCCGCTGAAACGTCCGCGGGGCTACGTTTCCACTATGAGCCTGGGTTGAAAATTTCACATTCAGTGTGCAATAAGCTTTAGGGTGGAACTATATAGAGTCTCTCTGTTTCTCTCAGTGTTAAAAAATGATGGAAGAAATAATGCGGCAACGATTCTCATTCACTTAGAATGGGTGACATCAAGCGTTGCCGAACTGAATTGTGGATCTGTCGGCGCCACTTCAGTGGCAGTGCTCGCTGCAGAAGTTGGGAATTTCTCAACTTTTCAAGCGCCAACGGAAGCGTCAGCCAATCAGATCGCTCTATGTAAATACACCAGCTCTGACAGTAGCCGTTTGCAGACTAATTTCATTGGCTGACGCTGCTATGATGATCGTGTAAGGCCTAACTTCAGACACGCCCTCCGTCAAGCGTTGAAGCTAAAGCCCTGTGTGAATCTGCAGTAATAAAATAAATGAGCAATATCACACTCGTAGCAGTGTGATTTGGCTGCATATCGGCACTGGTGGGACACGCCTCCCACCAGTGCCGATATGCAGCCACATCGCACTGCTACGAGTGTGATATTGCATTTATGCAACAGTTTGACGGCATAACCCTGCATTAAAAAAAAGAAAATCAAACACACAGAGTCTAAAAAATACTAAGAGGAACTACTTTCTTCCGCCATTCATTCACATCTGCAGCTGACGTCAGAACAGCAGAAGCCGCTGCTCATTCACCAACGTCTCTGTAGAGCTAGTGTCTGAATGATTCTCCAGCGTAATGTCTGAAGTGATGACAAGACGGCTGATTTTGCTCACATTTAAAGATTATTAACCTTATTCTAAAATGCGGAAGTGCGCCTGTTTTCGCGATTGTCTTAGAACTTCCGATTCAGTCGCCTATGGGAGAAATGACAAGGAATAATAAACGGCACAAAATGGCCAAACTACTTGCTCAACAAACAAATGTTTGCATGACTACACAGATCAAGTAGCATAATATAATAAGAAAATATTAAATTGCAACATCAAGCAGCGTAACGAGCAGTTGTTAACGTCAAAAAATGAATGGAAGTGAATGTGAGCGGAAGTCGCGAGACAAAAATATTCAAATGGCAGCGCCCGCTCGTCAGCTGAGAATAAGGTGAATAAGGCTGAACAGCATGAAATGCCATCAGTCTACAGAGATTTCCCAGCATATCTCCGTTGAAATCACAATAAATAACCCAGAAAAAGACAAAGCAAATCAAACACTAGCCGATTACTAGTGAAAAGATAAACTCAGGGTTATACAAAGAGTGGCCAACACACACATACACACATTCCTAATATCCCATTAAAGTCCCATCTTACACTCAATACACTACAATTACTATGGTATAATTACAGAACTACAACATACAAGAGAGAGAGATCGACTTAGAGTGTCACTCACCTGTTTAATAAGGATTTATTCAGCTGTAATTTAAAACAACACAGTGTTTTTCCTCCTCTAAGGATTATTATGTGGTCTCTGTCGCCATCTTGTGGCGGAACATTAACAGTTTTTGCTCTGCTCAGCATGATAGGCTGATGGATGCTACGCACTGTCTCTCAGAAATTATAAATATTTAAAATAAGCTCTATCCTTATAAATAATCTGCTTAGTTGCAATCTAAACAACTACATTCTCGACTAAAAAAGCCTCGATAGTACATGATGTTTTCTAGCAGCTGTAATATTTGTCATATTGTAGTGAGTTTATTGATCTGCTGTCACTCTATGTGGGCGGAGTTATACACAAGGGTAAAGAGGCTGTACGAATACTGTATATACTGATCAGCCAATCAGATTCAAGAACCAGACAGAACTGTTATAAATAAAAATAAATGATTAATGTGTGAAAAAAGAGAAATAAATAAAAAAGAAATTAGCTGCACATTTAGCGAAAACTAAAAATCTGTTATTTTAGATGCATTTATATGTTGTGTTTGCGCAGGAAGTCGTTCTGCTATCGACGGCTCCAGTATCTGAGCTCCAAATTTCAGATGCACGTCCTGCTGAACGAGATGAAGGAGCTGGCGGCGCAGAAGAAGGTGCCGCACCGAGACTTCTACAACATCCGCAAGGTGACGACAGCGCTAAACACACACTGCAGCTGCTTTAGTAAATAGGCTCATTTTACATCTCCACTATAGCAGTGTTTCCCAACCATGTTCCCAAGCCACACCAACAGCACATGTTCAGGTTTGATTAGGGAGAGGTTGGAAATGTAGACTGTTGCTGTGCCTTCGGGAACAGGGTTGGAAACCTGACCTGAGGCGGTGTAGAAACCCACCTGTCAGTTGTATAATTACATTAAACCATCCAACGCAGTTCGTAACTTTTTGTAGTGTGTGGCTAATTCGTATTAAGTTATGCAGTCTCATTCGCCACTGAGGGGTGTGGTTTAAGGACACGCCTCCTTTTAAAAGTCATTTCCATGCGAATGGAATTGTATGAATTCATTAGCAAATTTGTACGACAATACGAAAAATAGTTACTTTTTCTGCAGAGATCAGGCTGACAAGAGCATCTTTTCTACAAAAACATCATATATTTTCTCCATTTACCAGAAAAAGTAAACTACGAATTTTTAATAGTATATACATTATGATCAAATGATAATAGTTTTGCTGGCGGGAGCACTTTTAGCTTAGCTTAGCATAGATCAGTGGTTCTCAAACTGTGGTACGTGTTCCACTAGTGGTACGCAGTAGGGTTGGGCATCTAAGCTATAATGCCGATCCGATACGCATCTCGATACAAAGAATACGATCCGATATATTAGCGATACATTTGTGACATTGCGATGCAACACGATACGATTTACACCCATATCACGATACAATGCGATATTTCAGCACTAACTAATTAAATCAAGTTTATGAGATGATGTAAGAAAGGATGCTGTGCCATTGAATGAGTTTGATTATTTATTAACCAAGCAAAACCAAGACTTTTTTTACAAACTGGCTCTTCTCTCAGAGCCAGAGTGTCAGTTTACAGTAGAGGGCTATTTTAGAACATATAGCACATATTATTTAAGTATTTTCAAGATAAACAGAATGTATAAGTGCAATATATATTAAAAAAATATGTATATATTTGCACTCTTTCAACATAAATAAAATTAGCATTGCACAACAAGAATTGTGATTTAACTTTTCAACTATAAAAACAAGTTTTTACAAAGATATATTGTGCCACTGATTATTCAAAACTTAAGGTTGTGAACTAGCAGTGTTATGCTGCTTTCAAACATCACAGTCACTGTAAACAACAGGCTAATAAAAATATAAATAAATAAAAATTAACAGGAGGAGGTGTTTAAAACCTTCGTTCTCCGTGACACTAGGCTGAATATCTTTGCAGATGAGCAATGCAATAGCATTCGTTATTGGCGTAGAGCGAGCAGAACTGTTGCGCATGGAGAAAACTTGCAATGCTTTTCTCACCACTTTTGGAGCTGGTTGCTACAGTTGAAGCAGTGCGAAAGCCGGGGATGCAGGAACACTGGAAGATGCTTCCACAACAACACTGAGGCGCCGCTTCAAGTGAGATTTCAGATTAGTCGTACTGCCCGTGTATTTTACAGATGCGCGGCACATTTTGCAAATTGCATCTGTCCTGTCATGTCGTCCATCCTTAAATCCATAATGTTGCCATACTTTAGATTTAAAACTCAGTGGGGAATAAAATGTTTGTTTTGCTTCTCGCGCTTTCTGAGGGCGCTCCACTAGCTTCATCCGCACACCTGATACACTGAGTTGTAGTGTGAGTGTACACATTCGCAAGTCCGTTGCTAATGCAGACTTTATGTAGGTCGATTAAATTATGTGCCAAAAACAGGTTGACAACACTTGCTAATAAATAAAAAATACATTCTATATTAAAAATATAAGCTGTATCTCGCAAAAACCGATGCATCTCGCAAAAACCGATGCATCTCGATTTGCTTCCAAAATTTCATTCATCCTCTGCTGCTCAACCGATGCACTCGCATCGTGCACGCGCATGACCGCGTATCGATACATATCGGTTAATCTTCCCATCCCTAGTACGCAGGCTTCCTTCTAGTGGTACGCGGAGGAATCGCTGAATAATTAAAGTAAAAAAATTAACACACTTTTAACCCTTTGATGCGTACAATAACACGGATGTGATCAGTAAACTGATTTTAATAAATCAGCTAAACCTAAAGGCTAAACCTTTTATTTTATTTTCAATTTTCCAATGTATTCTATCATTTGAAGCTACAATAATTTCCTCCTCATATTTGTAATTGTTGTTGGGGCGAATCCAGTATTTTTATGTCCCAATTATGACAGGTATAGTATAATCACTTGCTTTTCTGACACACAAAACCTACTCTAACCCGCAGTTAGCAGATCTAATTTATAATTTAAATATGTAAATCCAAATCATACGTTTAAAATACAAGTTAATGTTTAGACTTTAAAGATATGCAAATTAGTGCATGCGACATATTTAAAAATGTATCAAAAAGAGTTAATATATGAATATGATGCCATATAGCCTATATTGATGAGGTCCAAGGGACATTTCTAGGTTTTGATGGATAGGCTACTTTATGATAACACTTTACATTTAGGCACAGCAGTTTTCTTTTCACTTTTTACGAACAGTTTCATTTTTAATTAACTTTTAAAAGCACGTTTTGATTTAAAAATGTATGCTTAATTTCTTTTTTACCTGTAAGCATAGTACAGTGTTAATGTTCAAACTATTTAAAATGGTTAAAGTGGCTGACAATAATAAATATTCGTAATTATAGTAATTAATCTGCCTGGCTTTTGAACTTTGTAGAGTTGTAGCTGCTTAATTAGGCATAAGCTACTGTATTTCAATACCGGTGGTGGTACTAGGAAAGGAAAAAAAATTCTGAGGTGGTACTTGATGAAAAAAGTTTGAGAACCACTGGCATAGATCATTGAATCAGATTGGACCGTTAGCATCTCGTTTTAAAAAGTTTTGATAATGTTCCTATTTAAAGCTTGACTGCTGTTAGCGTTTCATGATACTAGAATTCAATAGCAGTCGATACTGAAATTTAAATGTTGTCCAATTTTGGCTAACATTTGACCTGTTTTTAAACAGCGATTGTGTTCAGGTGCTCAACAGAAATGATTGTGATTGGCCCTGAAGGTCATCAGTTCACCGAACTCACCGCGGTTTACTGAGTGTAACCACAGATACAGGGACACTGGAGCGTTTTAAAGTCACGTTGATCAGCTGCTTTGTATATAAGCTGACATAAGAGCCATCCGCTGATGAATCACGGCTCTAGTGTGCCTGTATCTGTGGCTAGAGCCAGTAAACAGCGGTGAGTTCGGTGAACTGATGACCTTCACAGCCAATCACAGTCATTTCTGTTGAGCTTGTGAACACAGTAACTAGTATTTACCTACCTGCTATGTAGCTACATTGTGTACTAAGACCAACAGAAAATTTAAATGTGCCTTGTTATAAGCTGATATAGCAAAAGGAACTATACTCTCATTTTTAGGTCATAATCAACGAATGAACAATCGTACGATGGCTGCAGCAGCGCGATTACGCTAGTTACCTAGCTGGGAACTATTTGCAGGTGCTGCATAATATTATTTCTGCTGGTAATCATACATGTTATTCATGATATTATTAAAACTCTTTGGTCCTTTTTTGAGTGAGATGCTAACGGTCTAATCCGATTTAATGATCTATGCTAAGCTAAGCTAACAGTGTTCCTGCCAGACCCGAGGATCGGCTGAATGGGTTCAGAAATGGTCATACTCTGCTGTTTAACTGTAGAGGAGCTGTAAAAGTGGATACACTAGACATGGGCTGGTATACGACTCTAAACTGGGATGGAAATATCACGTCTGGGTTAAAAAAACTACTTTTTTTCCCACATTGAACACGATAGTAACGCTGACAGTGTTTGTGCAGGTGGACACACACATTCACGCCTCGTCCTGCATGAACCAGAAGCATCTGCTGCGCTTCATCAAACGCGCCATGAAGAAATACCCGGACGAGATCGTGCACATAGAGAACGGCAGAGGACAGACGCTGATGGACGTGTTCGAGAACATGAACCTGACGGCGTACGACCTGAGCGTCGACACACTCGACATGCACGCGGTACTACACACAGCAACACATATGTACATAAACAAACTCACTAAAAACACAGAAACACACACACGATACAGACGCAACAGTAGACGCCATACACACAATATATGTATGTATATATATATATATATATATATATATATATATATATATATATATATATATATATATATATATAAACACTATGCACACGAACTGTATGTACATCAACACACAGTATACAGACACGCACTATAAACACACACTATATATACACATAGTATAAATACAAACACACATACACTGCATACACACAAAAACAATGCCAACACACAGTATACAGACACGCACTATAAACACACACTATATATACACATAGTATAAATACAAACACACATACACTGCATACACACAAAAACAATGCCAACACACAGTATACAGACACACACTATAAACACACTACATATACACACACACACTCACATTGTAATCCCACTATATACATATGTATATATGTGTGTGTGGGCGCATATACATATACATACAAACATAATATATATCAACACAAAACATGTATGTATATATGTGTGTGTGGGCGCATATACATATACATACAAACATAATATATATCCACACACAACATGTATGTATATTTGTGTGTGTGGGCGCATATACATATATACACAAACACATCATATATAAACTCAAAACATGTATGTGTATATGTGTGTGTGGGCGCATATACATATATACACAAAAATATCATATATAAACTCAAAACATGTATGTATATATGTATGTGTGTGGTTGCATATACATAAATACACAAACATATCATACATAAACACAAAACATGTAGGATTATATGTGTGTGGGTGCATATACATATATAAACACATCATATATAAACACAAAACGTGTGTATATATGTGTGTGTGTGCACATATACATATACACATGCACACATATTTATATTTATACACACACACACACACACACACACACACACACACACACACACACACATATATCTATCTATCTATCTATCTATCTATCTATCTATCTATCTATCTATCTATCTATCTATCTATCTATCTATCTATCTATCTATCTATCTATCTATATATCTATCTATCTATCTATCTATCTATCTATCTATCTATCTATCTATCTATCTATCTATCTATCTATCTATCTATCTATATATCTATCTATCTATCTATACATATATGTGTTTGTGTTTGTATACATATATAGACACACAACATAAAAACACACGCACACACAAACTGAACTCTTACTAACTGATCTTCTTATCCTCCTCTAGGACAGAAACACCTTCCACCGTTTCGACAAGTTTAACTCCAAATACAACCCCATCGGCGAGTCGATCCTCCGAGAGATCTTCATCAAGACCGACAACCACATACACGGGAAATACTTCGGACACATCGTCAAGGTAACCGCGCTAAAATACTACTGATATCGCATAATATTGGTGTACAGCACTGCAATATTGAAACAAACACACACATTAAATCTAAATGTTTTGACTATGTGCTGAGTGTGTGTCCTGTGTGTGCAGGAAGTGATGTCAGACCTGGAGGAGAGTAAATATCAGAACGCTGAGCTGCGTCTGTCGGTGTACGGCAGGTCTATGGACGAGTGGGATAAACTCGCAAAGTGGGCCGTCACACACTCGGTGTATTCAGACAACGTGCGCTGGCTCGTGCAGATCCCACGACTCTTGTGAGACACACACACACTTAAACACAGAAACACACATTAAAAACAATACATATGCACAGTAAACACCAAACACAGTATATAAATACACAAACACACACTTGAAACACTCACACACAAACATTAAACAGACACACACTGAATACACTGTAAACACAAACACCAAATACACACTATATGTACACAAACACATACTTTAAACACACACACACTCACTATAAACACTAAAGCTGTAAACATGAAACTATAAAACCAACACACACAAACACACACACACACACACACACACACACACACATACACACACACAAACACAAATAAAACACTAAAGCTATAAATATAAAACAAAAAAACAACACACACACACACACACACACACACTTAAACACAGAAACACACATTAAAAGCACTACATATGCACAGTAAACACCAAACACAGTATATAAATACACAAACACACACTTTAAACACACAAACATTAAACAGACACTTTACACTCAACACACTGAATACACTGTAAACGCAAACACCAAATACACACTATATGTACACAAACACATACTTTAAACACACATACACACACACACACACACACACACACACACACACTAAAGCTATAAATATGAAACAAAAAACAACACACACACACACACATAACACTAAACAATACATGCTATAAACATGAAACTGTAAAACCAACACACACACACACACACACACTATAAACACTAAATCTATAAATATGAAACAAAAAACAACACACACACACACACACACACACACACACTCAACTCTAAACATTATATGCTATAAACATGAAACTAAAAAAAACAACACACACACACACACACACACACACACAACTCTAAACATTATATGCTATAAACATGAAACTAAAAAAAACAACACACACACACACACACACACACACACAACTCTAAACATTATATGCTATAAACATGAAACTAAAAAAAAACAACACACACACACACACACACACACACAACACTAAACAATACATGCTATAAACATGAAACTATAAAACCAACACACACACACACACACATACACACACTAAAGCTGGTGTGTGTTTTGTTCGCAGTGATGTTTACCGCACAAAGAAGCAGCTGAGTAACTTTCAGCAGATGCTGGAGAACATCTTCCTGCCGCTGTTTGAGGTCACCATCAATCCCAGCAGCCACCCGCAGCTACACCTCTTTTTGCAGCACGTCAGTCTCTTTACGTTTCCCTTGTCTTCTGTTCATTTCGCTGTAAATCGATTCGGAATTAAAGTTTGAGAAGGTAAAATCAGCCCATTCTCTAAAGAAATACGGTGTGTTGTCGTGTGCTGTTAAACAGTAGTCTAGAGCGGCATCTGCTGTTAAACAGTAGCTTAGAGCGACGTCTGCTGTTAAACACTAGCCTAGAGCACCATCTGCCGTTAAACACTAGCCTTGAGCACCATCTGCCGTTAAACACTAGCCTAGAGCGCCGTCTGCCGTTAAACACTAGCCTAGAGCATCATCTGCTGTTAAATACTAGCCTAGAGCGCCGTCTGCTGTTAAACACTAGCCTAGAGCACCATCTGCTTTGCTGTTAAACACTAGCCTAGAGCGCCGTCTGCCGTTAAACACTAGCCTAGAGCGCCGTCTGCCGTTAAACACTAGCCTAGAGCGCCGTCTGCCGTTAAACACTAGCCTAGAGCACCATCTGCTGTTAAATACTAGCCTAGAGCGCCGTCTGCTGTTAAACACTAGCCTAGAGCGCCGTCTGCTGTTAAACACAAGCCTAGAGCACCATCTGCCGTTAAACACTAGCCTAGAGCACCATCTGCCGTTAAACACTAGCCTAGAGCGCCATCTGCAGTTAAACACTAGCCTAGAGCGCCGTCTGCCGTTAAACACTAGCCTAGAGCACCATCTGCCGTTAAACACTAGCCTAGAGCGCCATCTGCAGTTAAACACTAGCCTAGAGCGCCATCTGCCGTTAAACACTAGCCTAGAGCACCATCTGCCGTTAAACACTAGCCTAGAGCGCCATTTGCAGTTAAACACTAGCCTAGAGCACCATCTGCCGTTAAACACTAGCCTAGAGCGCCATCTGCAGTTAAACACTAGCCTAGAGCGCCATCTGCCGTTAAACACTAGCCTAGAGCACCATCTGCCGTTAAACACTAGCCTAGAGCGCCATCTGCAGTTAAACACTAGCCTAGAGCGCCATCTGCCGTTAAACACTAGCCTAGAGCACTATCTGCTGTTAAACACAAGCCTAGAGCACCATCTGCCGTTAAACACTAGCCTAGAGCACTATCTGCCGTTAAACACAAGCCTAGAGCGCCATCTGCCGTTAAACACTAGCCTACGTTTGTTTAACCTGTTTGTTTTACGTTACATTTGTTTTACCTGTACATCTGAAGTCCTGAAGTCCACTGAAGTGATGACGTTTTCGTTGTTCAGGTGGTGGGTTTCGACAGCGTTGACGATGAGTCCAAACCGGAGCATCACATCTTCAACCTGGACAGTCCGTCTCCGGCGCGCTGGTGTGACGACGATAACCCGCCGTACTCGTACTATCTCTACTACATGTATGCTAACATGACCGTCCTCAACCACCTGCGCAGGTACTAAATGCCTTAGTGAGAACTTGAATCTGTCCGCCAGTCACTCTTGAGTCACATGACGCTTTCTCTGAGCAGGAGGCGGGGCTTCCATACCTTCGTTCTGCGACCTCACTGCGGGGAGGCGGGGCCTATTCATCACCTCGTGTCTGGATTCATGCTGTCAGAAAACATCTCACACGGACTGCTGCTCAGGAAGGTACGTGGACACTAGGAGAATCAGAACACAGTGATTCACTAAAAGAATCGGTTCAAAAGAGTCATGTTTAGGAAATGCTGTACTGCCTGTGTTATATGCGTCTTGATATGAATCAGTTTATATGAGTCATTTGATTATCAGCTAGGCTACATTAGTCACTCTGTACTCTTTCAATTCACTAAAACAAATTGGTACATTGGTCTTTTAATCATCAGCCAGTGTATTTTATTCACTCTTTACATTTGATTCTCTTAAAAGAATCAGTTCATAAGAGTTGTTTGATTATCAACCAGACTCCATTAGTCACTCAGTATGCATTCGTTTCACTAGAGTTGGTTCATAAGTCTTAATCATCAGCTAGAGTACATTAATCACTGTTTGTATTTTGTTTCATAAAAAGAATCAGTTCATATGAGTCATTTGATCATCAACAAGACTAGACTAGTTACTCTGTATGCGTCCAATAAACTAAAAAGAAATGATTTATAAGAGTCATTTAATCATCAGCCAGTGTATTTTATTCACTGTTTACATTTGATTCTCTAAAAGAACCAGTTCATATGAGTCATTTGATCATCAACCAGACCAGATTAGTCACTCTGTATGCATTTGACTCAATAATAAGAATCAGTTCATAGAAGTCTTTTAACCATTACTGTTTGCATTTTATTCTCTAAAAAGAATCAGTTCACACTCACTAATAAGAATCAGTTCATAAGATCAAGTACATTTAATCAGCCCACGTACATTATTCATTGTTTGCATTTGATTCTCTAAAAAGAACCAGTTTGTTAGAGTCATTTGATTACCAGGTAGACTTCATCATTCATTCAGTATGCATTTGATTCAAACAAATCAGTTTAGTACTACAGTAGTCATTATGTATGCATTTGATTCATTAAAAAGTATTGTTTCATAAGAATCATTTGTTCATTAAGCAGATTGCATTGTTCACTGAATTTGATTCAGTAAAAATAATCAGCTCATAAGAGTCATGTGATTATCAACCGGACTAGATTAGTCACTCTGGATATGTTCAACTCATAAGAATCAGTTCATAAGAGTCACTTAATCACTCAGAATACATTATTCGCTGTTTTCATTTGATTCTGTAAAAGAATCAGTTCACAAGAGTCATTTGATTACCAGCCAGACTACACTGGAGTCATTGCATTGGTTTATAGGAGTCTATAATAGTCACTATACATTTGATTCACTTAAAAGTATCATTTCATAAGAGTCATTTGTTCATTAAGCAGACTGCATTATTCACTGTATTTGATTCAGTAAAAAGAATCAGTTCATAAGAGTCATTAAATTGTCTGAAAGAAAACATTATTCACTCTCCATGTATTTGATTCGCTAAAAAGAGTCACTCATTTAGAGATCATTAGCTTCAGTATTTATCTTCCCTATCAAACACACAGAAGTGAATCATTAACCATTGTTGAGTACCTGTGTGTGTGTTGCAGGCTCCGGTGCTGCAGTATCTGTACTATCTGGCTCAGGTGGGAATCGCCATGTCTCCTCTCAGCAACAACAGTCTGTTCCTGAGTTATCATCGTAACCCGCTGCCCGAATATCTATCCCGCGGCCTGATGGTGTCGCTGTCCACCGATGACCCGCTGCAGTTCCACTTCACTAAGGTAAAACACACCGCGAGAGCTACGGCTGTTTCTGCTAGACCTCTGTCGGTATCAGAGTTTCTTAAGGTAATTAATTAATCACCATATTCGGTATTATCACCATACTGACCTGCTCTGCTCTAACACTGTAACAGTGACAACATTACAGTAAGCACTTAAGTGTCTTGCTTTATTGTGTACAACACCTGAGAGCCTAAGAGCATCACCAATACTGCAGAAGACCTACTGGAACCCGCATGGAGCCAAGATTCTCATAGAAATCAGTCAAGTTTGGTGAAAGAAATATCATGGTTTGGGGTTGCATTCAGTATTTTACTAGTTGAGTGGTAGTTAGTTGTAAAACGTGAGGCCAGCAGGGGGCGCTAAACTTGCATTGTGTGTGGGTCCTTATTCCCCAGTATAGTGAAGGGGACTCTATACTGCTCAGTGAGCGCCGTCTTTCAGATGAGACGTTAAACCTCTGTCCTAGAGCATCCTGGCCAAATCTGCTCACCGGCCTCTTACCATCATGGCCTCCTAACCATCCTCATATTATAATAGGCTTCATCACTCTGTGTCCTCTCCACCAATCAGCTGGTGTGTGGTCTGGTGCAGTATGGCCGCTGTTGTCATGCAGGTGGATGCTGCACACTGGTGCTGGATGAGGAGATCCCAACAAAATATTGAAAGTGCTTTGAGTGTCCTGAAAAGTGAGATGTATAAATGTAAGAAATTATTATTATTATTAAATTAATATGTCTGATTTGTGTTGTGTGTGTGTGTGTGTGTGTGTGTGTGTGTGTGTGTGTGTGTGTGTGTGTTTCAGGAGCCGCTGATGGAGGAGTACAGTATCGCCACTCAGGTCTGGAAGCTGAGCTCCTGTGACATGTGTGAACTGGCCAGAAACAGTGTGTTAATGAGCGGATTCTCACACAAGGTAACACACACACACACACACACACTAATAAACGCACTCATTATTAATAACAACTACAGAGTTCTTGACATGATGATTAATTATTAGATTGTTTGGCATGCTTTCCCAGGAGAGAGCTCTGAGCTCATAAGATCCTCGAGCCCGGGGCTCCCTCCTGTTTGCAGGGCGAGAGGGGAGTTCTGGAAAACTCTCCTGCGTATTCCTGGCTAAAGACTAATTGCTTTATCTGGGAAAACACCGCTGGCTAGGAACTTGACTATGGTGCCAGTTTAGTTTAGTCAATTTACTTATGACGCATGTCTTGGGACGCCGGGGGGAACCCACACGAGCATGGGGAGAACGTGTAAACGTCGACTGGCCCGGTAAGGATGAGAACCAGTGGCGTTCTTGTTGTGAGGCAACCGTGCATACCAAAAAAAAGAGGGAAGAATAGAGCAGGCAGGGGGGATTCAAGGCGAAGATGACCGTGACTTAGAATGTTCTGATTGGAGGATCATGTATCAGCTAATGCAGGACTAGCTGTGGTCAATCATAAGAACGTGATCCTCTTGAAATTAGTTTATAAATAACTTCACTTATTCCACACATTGAAAGTCAGGGAATATCTGTCAATCTGTCATCACTGTGCATTATCTGAATGTGTTTTCATATATTGAGAAGGGAACACTGAGAGAAACAGGAAATGCTCACCTCGCAATCATATAAAGCCCACCCACAGCATGTTTGATTACATAAACCACTCAAATGATCAAAAATAAAGAAAAATCATGATAAAATTTCAAATTGGCGACACAATGGCGCAATAAGTAGTGCTGTCGCCTCACAGCAAATAGGTCGCTGGTTCAAGCCAGTTGCCGTTTCTGTGTCTGGAGTTTGCATGTTCTCCCTGTGATCGTTTCCTTCAGGTGCTCCGGTTTCCCCCACAGTCCAAACACATGCAGTACAGGTGAATTGGGTAGGCTAAATTGTCCGTAGTGTATGAGTGTGAATGAGTGTGTGTGGATGTTTCCCAGAGATGGGTTGCAGCTGGAAGGGCATCCGCTGCATAAAATAATAGCATGGATAAGTTGGCGGTTCATTCCGCTGTGGCGACCACAGATTAATAAAGGGACTAAGCTGAAAGGAAAATGAATGAATGAATGAAATTCAAATTTTTTAGTGTGTCACACAAATAGCGTGGTGTTTTTCCTGAGGTATCTATCGCACACCGGATGAGCACCACCTATATGCCAGTGTAATGTCATTTGGTAACACTTTACAATACCATAAGGCTCCATTATTAATGCATTTACTAACATGGACAAACAATGAACAGTGCATTTATTACAGTATTTGTTCATGTTAGTTAATGAAAATACAGTCGCTCATTGTTAGTGTGCACTCAACTAATATCAGTGTTTCCAGATTGCAAATGTCAAAGTATCATACCACAACCTCAAAATGATCGAATTTGGGGGAAAATTATCGTACACGAGTGAAATGGAGAGTGTACAGCTGTTATCCAGACAAATAGCGTTTTGACACAACATGAAAATGACCACAATTCATAAAAAAACAGGCATACCTTAGTGGGAAGGTTTAACCTCCACCTCGGAGTCGCTGTCATCGGATACCTGCGTGCTGCCAGATGTTGAGTCAATTCATGGCTTTGTTTTGATGAGATTAACTTTTGAAAAACACGCTCACATGACGCATTTGAATAGAAAATAACAAGAACATCTTGGGGAAACTCCCTTGTCCTTCTCACCTTCCTTTTCAGCACAACATTTGCTAAACTTTATTGCTTAAACAATCGACCTCAAGCTGAAAACGACTGACTTCAGCTGCAGTCACACTGGGCTTTTCCTCCCATAGACTTCCATTCGTCAGGCCGGAAATGCAGGGTCATGCGTCAGGTTTCTGCGGTGCAAAGTTGAAGCTTGGTGAACTCTAACCTGTGAAATCGCATCACTTTACTACGTGAGACCAATCGAGAATCAAAACATGACCTCTCTGAACAGAAATTTAAAATATGGAGCAATCGCTCGCTTTTTTAATGTCTAATCATCTTGTTTAATCCCGCCCCTTTTCACAGAGCCGTACGACAGAATTTCGCAAGCTCAAACTCTAATGTGACCGCAGCTTTAAGCATGGCCATGTGCGGGAGGAATGTTAACTTCTGAGCCATTCTCCACGTTGATTGGCTGAGAAGATGTAACATAAGATGTGCCTCACTCCACGTTCTCCTCACAGACAGTGCAGAAACGATGCAGCTAGATCAATAAATATAGAAGCCCTGAGATAACCATGAAATTCATTTTAAATGCCATAAAATCCTGAAATTATGGTACATTATACGATTTTTCTCATTATTGATTGTACATCGCACAGAGGTCGAAACTACTGTACAAATGCGATAATTATCGTGCATCTAGCAACACTGACTAACGTTAAAAAGCATTAATTTGGATGTTAATGCATTAGTAAAGGTTGAAATATAATTAATTAATCCTGCACAAGTATTGTTCATAGTACATACATTAACTAATGAAACCTTACTGTAAAGTGTATCTGTTGTTCAATATATATAGAAATCTGCAGCAATTCAAAAATAAAACAATTAAAATCAATTTAAAAGAAAGCTGCGTTTGAGCTATTCGCTTGGTTCTGCATTAAATCCAGCAACAGCACTGCTCAACACCACAGCTGCCTGTTATTCAGTATAACTCATGTAAGTTCAGCTTTTTGAGTCAGTGATTTGAGCTTGGCGTGTTGGGGAAACCCTGTAATGAATGCGTTCCAATTAACCTTTGAAGACGAGCTCATTCTTTCCCCTCTTGTTTTATCTGTGTCTGTCTTAGTCTAAGAGTCATTGGCTGGGTCCTGATTACACCAAAGAAGGGCCGATCAGTAACGACATCCGACGCACAAACGTCCCGGACATCCGCGTGGCGTATCGATACGAGACCATGTGTGAAGAGCTGCACCTCATCATACAGGCCGTCCGGACGCAAGAACTGGACAGCATCGAGGAGGAGACGCTGTGCTTCACATCCGCCCAATCAATACGCTAGAGACGAACAGTGACTCCGCCTTTACATTAGAGATGAGCCTTAGCCCCGCCCACATGCTTTCCTGTCCTATCAGCACAATCTAGAAGAGCCATGACCCCGCCCAAATGCTTAACTTGTTTAGTCAGCATTCTGCAGATTAGCATGACCACACCCACATGCTTACCAGTCTTATTAGTACACTGCAGATGAGCAATGACTCCACCCACACACCAGAGACAAGCCTTGACCCCGCCTATATGTTAGCTTGTCCAATCAGCATAGTGCAGATGAGCAATGACCCCGCCCACCTTACACAAAAACTCAACTCTTGCTGGACACTCAAGTTTCAACCCCGCCCACATGCTTCCCCATCCAATTGATGCACTGCAAATTAACTATGACTCCACCCATACACTAATCACAACTAGACCCACCCAAGTTTACCTGTCTACTTAGCACACTGCAAATGAGCAATGACTCCGCCCATGCAGATAGCCATGACCCTACCCACATGCTACAGAAAAACTCAACTCCACCCACATACTCACTTGCCCAATCAGCAAGCTGTGAATAAGCCATAACCCATCCCACCTGCTAGACAAGTTTCAACCCCGCCCACATGCTATTCCTTCCAATCAGCTCACTGGAAATGAGCTATGGCTCAATCCATACACTAGTGAATACTAGACTCCACCCACATCCTACACTATCCAATCAGCACACTGCAATTGAGCCGACTCCACACAGACTAGAGATGAACATTGACTCCGCCCACATCCTCATATATCCAATCAGCACACTGCAATTAAGCTATGACTCCACCCACACACTAAAGAGAAGCCTTGACACTGCACACATGCTCCCCTTTCAAATCAGCACACTGCAATTGAGCTCTGACTCCACCCACAGACTGAAGAAAAGCCTCAACCCCGCCCACATGCTCCTATATCCAATCAGCGAACTAGAAAAGAGCTAAGACTCCACCCATACACTAGTCAAGACAAGACCCCACCCACATGCTCCACTATCTAATTAGCACACTACAATTGAGCTCCACACTGACTCCACCCACATCCTCGCATGTCCAATCAGCACACGAGCTATGACTCCACCCACACACCAAAGACAAGCCTCAACCCCCTCCACATGCTTCCCTATCCAGTCAGCACACTACAGGTTAACCATGACCCAGCCCACACACTATAATCGAGTTTTGACTCCACCCACATGCTCACACATCCAATTAGTGTGCTGTTATTGAGACAAGACCCCACCCAAACAGTTAAGACGAACCACAGCCTACCCACAAACTCTTCCGTCCAATCAGCATGCAAGAAATGAGCCTTGACCCCGTCCACACAATCCTGGTCAACATTGCTAGTTTGAATCGGTGACTCCGCCCACTGGCTCATCGGAATATAAGACTCCACCTACATTCTCATTTGAAGTTATGACTCCGCCCACTAGCTCATTGGAAGAGCTCTCCCACATTCTCATTTGAAACTTTGTTTCCGCCCACTGGCTCATCCAAAATAATGACTCTGCCCACATTCTAATGTAATGCCGTGGCCCCGCCCACACATTTATCCGTCCAATCAGCACCTTCTAGAAGGACCAAAGCCAGATTCATCTCATGTCGCTGCATGTTTAGAGATGTTTTAGCTATGCATCAGTATTATACTACAAGTGTGCGCGCAAATAACGTTATACCTCCGCGAGACCTCACACCCCTCACGTGCCTTTTAGAGACTTATTTTGAAGGTTTACTTTGAGGCGTAAAAAATAAAAATAAAAAAAAACAAATGACACCCTGAATCTAAATAAATATAAATTGTATAGTTTAAAATAGTATATAAGTTTCAAATAAAATATAAATAAAGAGCATAATTATATCAGTTACTATACATAATGTTAAAAACAATATACACGTCAGTATAAAAAATGTTGCACATGGTTATATTAATATCAATAAATTACGAAGTTTAGCTCTGTGATGGCACATTTTTAAGCTAGTTTTATTTTTCGTTTTAATTTCTACGTTTTCGTTCGTTATTACAGCTCACTGTGAACACGTCTATTAGTTTCTCGTTCAATTATTTACTCAATTTTCTCTTATTTCGAAGGATTTGCGTTCTCTGATGTATCTGAAAAGCATTTCTTTAATGTCCTCCAGTCCTGCGGGAGGCGCTGTTGAGCCTGATCCTGTTAAAACTCCCATTTTTGCAGTCTACACATCTACATATCATTAATTTACGCACATTAGATAAATTTTATTGTTTATTATTAGTTCGCATTTCAGAGCCAGCATGTGTTCGCTAGTTTTAGCGGAACGTTAAACTGACTGTTAATCTTCGCACAATATTATGATCACAAAGACTAAAGAATCACAGCAGACGTGAGCTCGGAATAGCATGATTTATAGAAATTAGCACATTAACCAAGAGCAAAGCATGACGTACAACACGCTAGCAAGCCAATGCTCGCAAATAACAGTACGAATCTATTTTTGGCGAGAATGACGAATGAGTCTGTCCAGACGAGTGTTGATTTCAATAAAGCATGCGTGTTCAATCTCCTGAGTCTCTGTGCAGTTTTTTGGTATCAACATCAGCGTTAAAATACAAATAAATATAACGAAGTCCGCATCGTTTTTTCATTGTCATCTGTTAGCGATGTGTTGACGTAGTTCAAATCATCGGTCTCACTTCACTGGCCATCTGGAGAGAGGAAACACAACCATCAGTACAAGTAATTCATCATTTTATCGTCATGGTTTTATCGTTTGTTTTTAAGTGTGAATGTAGTAACGCCCACCGCGAGCGCAGACTTGATGTTCTGCAGCTGGTAGAAAACACGTCCGCCTTCTTCAGGACAGATCGTTTTGAGTTCGTCGCGTGTCATTCCCAACAACATCGAGCCGCTGACGCCCCCTAGACAGCGAACCGTACTGACACACACACATAGAGAGAACGCTCAGTTTAGTGCACTACTTAGTGTACAGCACTTTCAGGCATTTCAGATTAGTGCATTACTTAGTATGCAGTATATATCTAGGTATACTCATTTTTGTGCACGTATTAGCGTGCAGAACATACAGGTATGCTCAGATTAGTAAACTACTTAGTGTGCAGTACATACAGGCATGCTCAGATTAGTGAACAACTCGATATGCAGTATATCCAGGTGTGCTTAGATTAGTGCACTTCATAGTGTGCAGTACATCCAGCATGCTCATATTAGTGAACTACTTAGTGTGCACTGTGCAGTACATCCAGGTATGCTTAGATTAGTGCACTACTTAGTGTGCCGTACATACAAGTATGCTCAGATTAGTGTACTACTTAGTATGCAGTATAAATCTAGGTATACTCAGATTAGTGCACGTATTAGCGTGCAGAACATACAGGTATGCTCAGATTAGTAAACTACTTAGTGTGCAGTACATACAGGCATGCTCAGATTAGTGAACAACTCGATATGCAGTATATCCAGGTGTGCTTAGATTAGTGCACTTCATAGTGTGCAGTACATCCAGCATGCTCATATTAGTGAACTACTTAGTGTGCACTGTGCAGTACATCCAGGTATGCTTAGATTAGTGCACTACTTAGTGTGCCGTACATACAAGTATGCTCAGATTAGTGTACTACTTAGTATGCAGTATAAATCTAGGTATACTCAGATTAGTGCACGTATTAGCGTGCAGAACATACAGGTATGCTCAGATTAGTAAACTACTTAGTGTGCAGTACATACAGGCATGCTCAGATTAGTGAACAACTCGATATGCAGTATATCCAGGTGTGCTTAGATTAGTGCACTTCATAGTGTGCAGTACATCCAGCATGCTCATATTAGTGAACTACTTAGTGTGCACTGTGCAGTACATCCAGGTATGCTTAGATTAGTGCACTACTTAGTGTGCCGTACATACAAGTATGCTCAGATTAGTGTACTACTTAGTATTCAGTATAAATCTAGGTATACTCAGATACTCAGAACATACAGGTATGCTCAGATTAGTAAACTACTTAGTGTGCAGTACATACAGGCATGCTCAGTTTAGTGAACAACTCGATATGCAGTATATCCAGGTATGCTTAGATTAGTGCACTACTTAGTGTGCCGTATATACAAGTATGCTCAGATTAGTGCACTTATTAGCGTGCAGAACATACAGGTATGCTCAGATTAGTAAACTACCTAGTGTGCAGTGTAAGCACAAGTGTGAACTCACATTTTACTGAACCCCTTGTGCTCCAGCCATGCCCGCACCTCCTCCGGCCTGGACTTCCTGTTGAGCGCAGGAGCAGACGGAGCTTCCTGTGGATGGTGAGTGTTAGTTTGTGCTGTAGTTGTGACTGTAGATGTCGAGAGCGTCAGACACACACACCTCTTTCTCCTCCTCCTGATTCTGCTGCTGAAGCATGTTATTGGGGACGAAGCCGATCTGCCCTCTCTGATTCTTCACCTTCCACCACTTCTTCGACATGTCCAGCAACTACAACACACACACATATATTGGTATTGGTGGTTTCTGAGGACTCTGCATAGGGGTAATGTATTTAATACAGTAAAACACTTATTAAATGTGTGTATATGAAATGAAGCTCATAGTAAGGCAGCAGTCCTGTGCTCTGTGTGTCCTCAAACTCTCAGTGTTTCTGACCTGCAGCTCTTCTCCTTTAGTGATGGAAAGCTCTCTGTCGTTACGAGCTGAGAAATCAAATATGGCTCGCATGAAACTCGCCGGCAGCTCACTGCAACACACACACACACATACACACACACACACACACACACACACACACACACACACACACACACACACACACACACACAGATGAGATGGAAACCTGTTGATGTGACTGAACTTATACAGAGCTTATGCACTGATGTCTGTACCTCTGCTCTGGCTCAAGCTCCGGCTCTGCTGTACGGCTCTGAAACAGACAAACAGACAAGCATCTGAATAGTGTGTGTTACACATGTTTGCCATGTAAGTTTGCATGTGTGTTTGCCGTAACATTACATGTGTTTGCCGTAATGGAATATGTGTTTTGCTGTAACATTACACGTGTTTTGCCATACATGATTTACCATAACATTGCTTGTGCTTACTGTAACGACTTGTCTGTTTGCTATAACCGCTTGTGTTTTGCCATAATGACACGTGTGTTTGCCGTAATGATGCGTGTGTTTGTCGTAACCGCTTGTGTTTGCCATAACAACATGTGTGTTTGCCGTAATGATGCGTGTGTTTGTCGTAACCGCTTGTGTTTGCCATAACAACATGTGTGTTTGCCGTAATGATGCGTGTGTTTGTCGTAACCAATTTGTGTGTTTGCCGTTAATTACTTGTGTTTGACGTAACGATGTGTGTGTTTGCCGTAACGACACCTGTGTTTGTTGCAACCGCTTGTGTGTTTGCCGTAACTGCTTGTGTGTTTGCCATAAAGGCTTGTGTGTTTGCCATAACAACACATGTGTTTGTCGTAACCGCTTGTGTGTTTGTCATAACCAATTGTGTGTTTGCCGTAACGACACGTGTGTTTGTCGTAACTGCTTGTGTGTTTGTCGTAACTGCTTGTGTGTTTGTCATAACTGCTTGTGTGTTTGTCGTAATTGCTTGTGTGTTTGCCGTAGCGACACATGTGTTTGCCGAACCACTTGTGTGTTTGTCATAATCAATTGTGTGTTTGCCATAACGATACATGTGTTTGTCATAACTGCTTGTGTGTTTGTCATAACTGCTTGTGTGTTTGCCGTAACGGTATGTGTGTTTGCTGTGGCGACGCGTGTTTGCCGTAACCGCTTGTGTGTTTGTCATAACCAATTGTGATTGCCGTAACGACATGTGTGTTTGTCGTAATTGCTTGTGTATTTGCCGTAACCGCTTGTGTGTTTATCATAACCAATTGTGTTTGCCGTAACGACACGTGTGTTTGCCATAACGATACATGTGTTTGTCGTAACTGCTTGTGTGTTTGCCGTAACAACATGTGTGTTTGTCTTAATTGCTTGTGTGTTTGTCATAACCAATTGTGTGTTTGCCATAACGATACATGTGTTTGTCGTAACTGCTTGTGTGTTTGTCGTAACTGCTTGTGTGTTTGTCGTAACTGCTTGTGTGTTTGCCATAACGGCATGTGTGTTTGTCATAACTGCTTGTGTGTTTGTCGTAACTGCTTGTGTGTTTGTCGTAACTGCTTGTGTGTTTGTCATAACTGCTTGTGTGTTTGTCGTAACTGCTTGTGTGTTTGTCGTAACTGCTTGTGTGTTTGTCGTAACTGCTTGTGTGTTTGTCGTAACTGCTTGTGTGTTTGTCGTAACTGCTTGTGTGTTTGTCATAACTGCTTGTGTGTTTGTCGTAACTGCTTGTGTGTTTGTCGTAACTGCTTGTGTGTTTGTCGTAACTGCTTGTGTGTTTGTCGTAACTGCTTGTGTGTTTGTCGTAACTGCTTGTGTGTTTGTCATAACTGCTTGTGTGTTTGTCGTAACTGCTTGTGTGTTTGTCGTAACTGCTTGTTTGTTTGCCGTAACGGCATGTGTGTTTGCCGTGGTGACACGTGTTTGCCGTAACCGATTGTGTGTTTGTCATAACCAATTGTGTGTTTGCCGTAGCGACATGTGTGTTTGTCGTAATTGCTTGTGTGTTTGTCATAACTGCTTGTGTGTTTGCCGTAACGACACGTGTGTTTGCCATAACCACTTGTGTGTTTGCCATAACGATACATATGTTTGTCGTAACTGCTCGTGTGTTTGCCATAACGACTCTTGTTAGCTGTAACGGTGCACATGTTTACCGGAACAGTTTGTGTTTGGCCTAATGCCGCATGTTTGGCATGTATGTTTGCTGTAACGGCGTGGTGAGGTGTGTGTTTATACCATCTGTCGAGCCACAGATGTTCGTGGCGTGTCTTCTTTGCTGATTGATTTATATGCAGGCTCCTGCTTGCTGATTTGTTTATATGTGGGCTCGGGGTTCCTGATAGCCGGCGGCTCCCAACCATCATCAAACACCGGCGTGAATGTGGGAATATCATCATCATCCTCCGGCCACTTAGTGCTGCATCACACACACACACACACACACACACACGGAAAATCAGAAACATTACACAGCTGATCTGAGAGAGTTTGTGTTTTGATATGTGTGTGTGTGTGTGTGTAAGTGTTTTGTACCTTGGGATGTTCCAGGCGTCTCCCAGTGACTGCCACAGATGATCTTCCTCCGGTGTGGCCTCCTCACTCAGAAACACCACACACTCCGGCTCGAAGAGAGGAGCCACGATTGATGGAGGAAGATCTTCGTTACAGTGATACACCACCTACACACACACACACACACACACACACACACAAATAGATTTAAAGACAGATAAAGACTGCACTCAGATCTGTAAGGCAGGCAGGCATCTCTCACCAGCTCCAGTATGGAGAACAGGCAGTGTGTGAGTTCAGCAGCGCTGGGGTTGTCTATCTTCCCCTGGAGTTTGCCCTGATCAACACAGATGGGTCGTCAGTTGGAGCATTTCTTCATTTAGTACATGTTTTATAATGTTAATCAT